CAGCGAATAACGCAGCAAGAACAGTGCTGCTGTGTGCTCACCCAGCCACTACTCAGCACTTCATCCGTAAACAGGAATATTCAGTTATTAGCAGAATTATATGTACTGGGGCACCTGGTGGTGCAGTCGGTTAAGTGTCCAACTCTTGATTTTGGCTCAGGTCGTGATCTCAGGGTTGTGAGATCGAGCCCCGGGTAGGGCTCCATGCTCAGTGGGGAGTCTGCTTCTCTAACTCTCCCTTTTCCTCTCTCCCTCCCTCCACTCACGCTCTGTCTCTCAAATAAATAAATAAATCTTTAGAAAACAAAGCAAAACAAAAAACACAAACAAAAAAGAATTATATGTATTGAAACATGTAAAGTGCTTGGCACAGGATCTGGCACATGGTAAAAGCGGATTATTACCACCATCCTTGAATGCCTTTGTGCTGGGGCAGATTGTTCCAGACCAGGAAGTCACCAGGGGCTGTACAGTCCCTTTGTCTGCACTAGGGGCCCCTGAGCACGAACCCCTGCTGTCATTGTGGCTGCCTCCATCTTCAACACCCCAGCAGCAGCCCCAACCCCAGCTCCACGGCTTCAGGAAAGCCAAGAACTTACTTCTCTGAAACATGGGGTGGTCCCGCTTTAAGAAAACTCACTCTAGAAACCAAATATCCAAAATCAAAAAAAAAAAAAAAAAGGAAAGAAAAAAGAACTATTTATAGTGTGTTAGCAATAGAATCTGTATCATAAGGTCATGGTTTTTTATTTGCCAATGAATAAACCAATCAATCCACCATCACTTTGGCTGCTTGGGTCACTAACGACTCACCTCACCCCATTAAAACAAAATCCCACTTAAAAGAATGAAGGAGGAAAGGTAAACTCAGAACACTGCATTGTGCAGCCCTGAATGAATGGACGGATCCACGTGCATCCTCAGTGGCTAACTGGCATCATAAGAGAGAGCCAGGCAGATGTGCGCCTCCTGATGGAAGAACATAGAATCACATATGCATGCTTGTCCCCCAAAAAGAAAAGAGGAGCACCTGGGTGGCTCAGTTGGTTAAGCATCTGCCTTTGGCTCAGGTCATGATCCTGGGGTCCTGGGATCGAGACCCCCGTCAGGCTCCCTCCTTAGCAGGGAGTCTGTTTCTCCCTTTCCCTCTGCCCTTTCCCTCTACTCATGCGTGCGCACACATGCGCATTTTTTCTCTCTCTAATAAATAAAATCTTCAAAAAAAAAATAAAACCCCCCAAACCTATATCTGATCAAGCTGCTAGATTTACTTAATTTACAAGAAATACGAAGAGCAGAAAACAATGTTGAAATACACTAAACACACACAATCGACAAAAACCCCAACGGTGAGAAACTCGGCAGGACCTGGGACCCAGTTTCCTCCGATAAAGAGCAAGAGAAAAATAAAGATGAGGAGAGAATCTTACAGATTGAGAGAGACTTAAAGACTCAATCACCAACTGCAATGTGTGGGCTTAATCTGGATCCTGGATAAAACAAAGTGGAAATAAAGGTATTGATAATATTTGTGATTCAACCAGAAATTTGAACACTGGATATTGGATGTTATTAAAGAATCGTTGGATGTTTTAAAAAAAGAGTTCTTATCTCTTAAATCGAGCAATACATTTAATATTTATGGCTGAATTGATATGCGATCTGGGAAAGTCAAAGGAGGGAGGTGCCAGTGGCTGTGGGTGGGGCCGGCCTGACCATGACGGAGCCCCCTGGTACCAGGTGCCTGGAGTCACTGTGCTAGTCTCATCTCCTTTGTGTGTGTTCCAAACCCTCCAAAATAAAAAGTTCATAAAGAAAGGCCACTCATAACATTTCAGTTTGCCCAGCCACATGTCTGGAGTCTGTCTTCTGTATCCCCAGGGCCAGCAGGCTAGGATGTGTTATTCCTGGTTCTGGCCTCTTCTCTGCATCTTCCACCTAGAGAAGGGGCAAGCCTAGTCTCTTGGGTCAAGGAATGAGTTTCCTGAGTCCACAGGGCCTGGCAATATTGGAAACTGGAAAATAATTGGATAGGTGAATTCTCCGATACACACTACACACCAAAATCTCATCTTAGGTGAAAGATACGTTAACCAGCAGCTATTCACATTTCAAAAGGTTTGACTGATTTAAAATATAGCAAACATTTTTGTTTAAATGGCCTGATTTTGTTTAAATGGCAAGATTTCCATCCAATCTTGGCAAACCCTTAAGATTCCATCTGATGCACAAGTCAGGTGAGGTTTGCTGACTGGTCCCTGAGAGGTGCACATGCTGTTAACACCTAATAACTTAACTGCACGGGAGAAATCTGAGCAACACCCTGAACCCTGAGGGACCACAAGCAACTGAAGGCTCCTTCTCCCACTCTCAGGCTTGTTTCTGGATCTTCACCTGCCCACCCTCCCCCTCCCACCTTGGTCAAGGCCACCAACAGTGGCTCTCAGACACTGAGTTCCCAGAGAAGTTGCTGCACTGTGAAAGCCACAGGAGCCTGTGTGGAATTTCCTCTCTAGGCGGCATCCCCAATGGCCTTACCCAATCCGGATGACAGGGCAGCCTCCTGACTTTGTACCTCCCACCAGCAGAAATCCACAGCGAGAAGGCTTGTCCAGGCCCTTGGGGCCACCCACCCATGCAACTGGATACATACACTTTGTAAGAACTGGTTTCCAACAGATAAATGTAATCAAGGTTTATATGCTCAGAGAAGCCAACAGGATGGGATTGTTTCACTTGAAAGATCAGAAGAAAATTGTAACTAATGTTGTGGAAAATTACTTTGATATTGCTTTCTTGGTACCGAATCACAATTAGGCTGCTGTGAGAAGTACAGGGAAAGAATAAATGAATAGTAACAAATCAACACAAACAGCCTGTGTCAGGAACACTTTGCTCAGGGAAAGTAACATAAGCATTACTTAAAGTTTTATGACTGTGTTCCATGTGATTTACGCAGAACGTCAAGGTTGCCCAAACCCGGCCACGTGGTGAAGGGGGTCCAGCTCCATTTACAGCCAGAAGAACACGGCTCAAGCCTCAAGTGTGCCCATCGCACGGGTCAGCCAGGTCCACGCCGTCCCCCCTGCAGGGGGATACGTGCCTAAGCTTCGTGTCATCCTCTACGCCCTTCGGAGGCTCGGAGCTCCTTCCCCAGCTCGCCACTCCATCCTGGAAATCCCAGCCGTCCTGTGGGGTCTGGCCCTACTGGTAATGGAAAAGATCCACATGCGCATGCGCGGGGGCAGCTGGGCAGGGGCGCATGCGCAGTAGCAACTGGCTGGTGTGAGGGGCAGGAAGACACGAAGCGCAAGCGATCCGCTGTGCTGGCTGACTGCGGCATGGCGGGGCGCACGTCCTGGCCTTCAGGTCCCAACTCTACCCACGTATATAGCATCTGTCCCTGCAGTGTACCACGGATGAGTGCATGGCCCCTGCCCAGACGGACACAAACTCCTGCCTTCTCTCCCAGGCTCGTCCCACGGAACGCAGACCCTGGACACAAGGACCCTCTGCCCATGGCGTGCACCTCAGCCACACACACACACCAAAATGGGCACCAAAGATCCATGGGTCACCCCGAGGATACACCATTCACCCCAAGCCACATTTAGGGGCCCTTGTTCAGGACCTCATTTCCACACAGACACCGCACACGTGGGGGGGTGGGCAATCTCAGCCCGCCTGACAGCCCTACCCTCCGGGGCCGGGTTCTGCTGACAGAAGGCCGCCAGCCCCTCTAAAGCTCACATGGGGCTGCAAGTCCCCACAGAGGAGCCAGCTCAGTCACATATCCTCGCTTCTCCAGAAGCCAGGGAGTAGCCAGACCCACCTCTGACAGCCACTACCCCTGAGGGCCCGGCCCTGGCGGCCCAGGCGTGAGTCAGTACCAGTAACTCCCCTGTTGTCTCCTGGGGTCCCACCACCTGGCTGCCTCTTGCTGATTCTTGATGAAAGAATGAACTCATTGGCCTCCCCGCCCAGGGCCTCTGGTAGGAGCTGCCAGGCCAACAGTCCTCATTCTAGCCTCCTGATGCTCCTTCCGACTTTCTACCTGATGCCTCCAGGCCTTCAGTCTATGCGTGGGATGACTAAGCCAGCCAGAGCCGAGGGTGGGGCTGGGGAGGGGGCTGCAGGCCCAAGTACCCGGGGTCCCCTCCCTGAGGGCCAGGTGCCTTACGCTGGGCCCTGCTCTTCTGTAGGGTGGTACAGGAATTTCTCTCCCTAAACCCATAGCCTCCACTCCTCCATATTGTCCGTGTCCTGGAGCTCATGGCTGTCTTCACAGACTTCCCCGCTAAAAGCCCCCAGGCCCACCGCTGAGAGATGAATGGGGGCTGTGTCTCAGCAGCAGGCATTCTGCCTGAGTTCCCCCTCTCCATATTCTGCCTGCCTGAGGCTCCAGAACCATCCTTCCCACTTTCCCCTTGCTGGATCCCACCTGTCCTCAGCAGATCTCTCTGCAAGTCAGGAAGGGTGCTCCCCTCCGTGGCTCACAAGGGACACATGGGATACAGGCAGCAGGTGGGGGCCAGCAGGAGCAATCTCAGCTTCGCAGAGACAGGAGGTACCTTGACCCCCTCTGCCCAGGCCAGAGGGCCTGGATTCGAGGAGTCCCAGTCTGCCAGTCTCTCTGGCAGAGAAGCAGAGTCCCATGGCGGGGGGGGCATGGGCTCAAGGAGAAGTCATTCACCCTCTGATACCCCAGACCATGTGGGAGAGGCCCCACGAGATGGCAGAATCCTCCTTAAGCCTCAGCTTCACCAAAGGCAACAAGTGGATGAGAGCCTGGCTATCATTTCAAGAGGAGGGCATGGGCCAGAGACCACAGGCCAGAGGTCAGAGGCCAGAGGCTGATGCCCGCCAGGAGAAGGCCAGGCCCCCTCCTCTGCCTGCCGAGGCTCTCGGCACAGACTTGGCACCAGGGCAGCCACGGAGGCCTGCACTTCGGACAGGAAAGCTGGGGCAAGTGGGCATCAGGGCCGAGCGCAAGGGCTCACCTGGCAGCTGTCGAGGGGCGAGCTCCGTGGGGTCCTGCAGGCTGATGAAGAGGAGGAGGCCTGCGGCTCCAAACAGCAGGATGGATGAGAACATGCAGGCTAGCCGCATGGTTCCGGCTCGCGGGGTCATCCGGGGCTTGCTCCGGGGTCACCTCTCGGGTGTGGGAGGTGCGTTCTTCCCTCATCATCCACACCAAGCATCCATCAGGCCACGGTCTGCAGGGCAGATGGGGAGAAAGGGGGTCCATCACTGAGGCACACAACATCCTGTGCGGGCTGAGGCCCCAGTCACTGCCTGCGACCAAGCATAATCCCCGATCCCTCCATCCTCTAGAACTTACTCAGGTATGTCCGTTCAACCTTTCCAAGCCCAAGGAGGCTGAGGGAAGTCTAGTCACCACCTGTAGCTGGGACACCAGCTTCCCAGCAGGGGTTCCTCTATTTGCACCCCCGGAAAAACCATGGAGACAAACACTCTCTGGACTCTGCCTGGGGGAGCCCAAGGTGGAGCCCCAGAGACCCACAGCCAGTAACAGCCCCTGCACTGTGCAGGCCCTCCGAGCTTCCAGAAGAACTGGTGTGCTCCCTATAGGGGGCCTAGGTACAGGGCCAGCAATTTGGGTCCTTGTCCCTTACAACTGGCCTGGTGGACAGAGAAGTTCTTGGATCCCTCTGCCCTGGCTCCTCTCTACAGAATGTTGGGGACAAGTGTCTCCACAGAGCAAGATGCTTTGGGAAGGAGTCTCCTAGGCCCAGTGGCTACCAGGGACAGAGAATCCCCCACCTGGTGGCTCCTCTCTCCAGCCAGAGCTGTGTCTCCCTGACAAATGGGTGGGCTAGCGGAATAGAGACCCCACTGGCTAGTCAGCGGCATCAGGGGGAACAGAAGCTCTGGCCTATTCCCACTCTTGAGGACCTCAGGCTTGGACGGAGGTAGCCAGACCTGCATTTGACAGATTCCAGGCTGAGGCTGGTGACAGCATCCCTTGTGTTCCTGTGGATGGACACCTGTTGCTCTGGTCACTGCCTCCCCAGAGTATGCCCAGGTGACTTGCCCCTCACCCTGGTTCCTCCTGAAGGGCAGAGCAAGAAATGCCAAACACCCCAAATACCAATGAGTGACTCCAACTGGGCCAAGCTGTGGGTCAAGATGGGGGCACCCCGAGGCCATTTGCTCACAGGAAGGATGTAAGTTCCTACAGTGGGATGAGGCATGGGTGGAATGGGACAGGCGCTGAAGAGGGATCTACACAGCTAGACGGGCAGGGATTCCAGAACTCCCCCTTTTAGAGGAAGGCTGCTCTGTCCCCTTGGCTTCACCCATTCCTACTAGTCCGGGCGCAGAGATACCACCCTCTCTCTACCCAAAAGGCCTTGCGGGAGCTTCCCCAGCCCTGACATAGGACAGCACTGAGGGAGGCTGAGGCCAGGTGGGCAGCTTCCAGTAGCCTCTGAGATCACAGGTGGGTGGCTGGGACCCCAGATCAGATGCACTGCTTGGCACAAGGACATTTCCCTGCCTGGGGTCTTCTTGGGCACAGTACTTTGGTCGGGGAACCCATTCCTGACCAGCCACCCAGGCGGTGGGGGAGGAAACCCCAGCTCCCCTCCCTCTGTGTCCTCATGCTCCTGGGGGCACGAGGCAGGAAGTGGTAAGACACGTCCTTCCCTCCCCAGCCCAGACAAAAATTCCCAAGGTCTAGACTGTTCGCAGCAAAGCTCTGGGGCTGAAGAGTGTTAAATTGCAGGTTTGGGTTTCTCCCCTCTGCAGTCTCTGTAATTATGTTTTCACTCAGTTAACTTGAATTAACCTGCCCCAGGCCTCTATGCATGGGAACACACCTGAGCACAGGGTTCTCTGGGTTGTGCTGAGCAGGTGGTTCCCACGACCTCCCAGCTTTTATGTTTGGGAGGCAGCACGGAGCAGGGCTGTTTTGTCTCGAGCTGGCTCAGTTTGCCATCGGCCCCAACCTCACTGCAATGGCCCCCGCCCCAAGAAAGACAGCTGTTCCTGCCATTGCCGGGGACACCCCTGCATAGGGCTTGCAGTGGGTAAAAATAGGCAGCTGCATGTCCCCAAAGGCTCAGACCCTGAAGTCTCTCGTGGGACCCTGTGGCTTCTCCCTCCTCTTGAATGCACCTCCCACACCCCACCATGGCTGCCCGGGATGGGACTGTCCTGGGGGCCTGGCTCATCATCCTGCAAAGACACAGACACAGTGGTGCAGGCACCAGGCCCCATTGAAGGACAAGGTCACTCTCAACACTGTGTCCTTTGGTCTCCCAAGCCCTTCCCTCCATGATGACAGGAGTTGTGTGCAGGGGCTGCCAGGGCCAGTCTCGAGGTCTGAGGGAAGGTGCAGGGGGGTGCCATAGAGGTCCTCCTGCCCCAAAGCAGTTGGCTTAACCCCCAGGGGTGTCCAGACAATCACGGAAAGGAGTCAGGAGAGTGGAAAGAGTGTCACGTACACGGATTCAGCAGGGACGAGACCCTCAGGGAGCAGGGAAGGCAGCTCGGGGCCCTTCCAGAGCAGATGCACAGGCTCTAACATGCATACACACATGGATGCACACACAGCACACATATACCATCGACAGTCCCCAGCAAGGCCCCAGCTGTAAAGAAAGTGCCACAAAGCCCTGATATGCGGGCTGTGGTGGTCGCACACTGCCTACAGCCTCACCGGCCTCCTGGGTCAGACCTGAGGCCAGCAGGCCAATCTGACCTAGGGTGACGGAAAGAGAGAGGAAGGAGGGGAAAGAGAGAAGCAAGTTTATGGCTACGGCCCACCGCTGTCCAGTAAAACAGCTAATAAAGTGCCACCTGCTCTCGGCCCAAAGGCTCTATTGGATGAAAAAAACAGGGGGGCTCAGAAGCACATGCAATCCAGTCCCCTCCTCTCCACTGTCACCATCCAAGCCAGTACAGACTTCCCCTGTCCTGCAGCAATGACCAGTCCTCACTTGCTTCTGAACCTACCCCAAACCCAACCCCCCAGGTGCAGCCAGGCTCCATTAGCCCTTGTGCCTGGGAGCCAGGATGAGGACCACATCCTTGCCCCCAAATCTGGGGGCGGGGGCAGGGGGAGAAAACCAGCCCTAGGACCTGCACCTTCACTGCAGTAGGAGCATCAACCATTTAAGTGTCTGCTCTCAGAGACACTCCTTTTTGTTGACCCCCAAGAGAACAGCACCGTCTCCATTCTCCATGTCCAGGGAAGCTGGTGTTAGAGTCCTGCGTGGCTCTCCCTGACCCTCCTAAGTATCAGACCCCAGCCTTCCCCTCGGACGCCCCCCGTTCAGTGTTTGTTCTCACTGCAGACCATCTAACCAGCCAACTCCCTGCTATGTGCAAATGGAATCAAAAGGTAAGCGTGCCTCCCGTCCTGGGTAACTGGCTGGCAGTCTGGCTGGGTTCCCCTCAGGAGGGGGCCAACATCACAGAACCCGTAGGAACCGCCTTCCTTTAGAGGTGGAGGATAGATAAGAGATCACCCGACACTCCAGGCAGTGTGTGCATCTGATCCCCTATTGTTCCCGTGAGGGCCCTTGTCTTCAAAGTCACATGTTATTTTCAAGACAACAGGGAGATGCTGGTCCAAAGGCTGCTTGTCTCTGTCTCCTGGGAGTCGAGCTGCTGCCCGGGGAGTGGACTCTATGACCTTTCACAGGCCAGGGCCAGGCTGCCCAAGGCCCCGTAAACACACTCATGGGTCTCCGCTCCCACTTGGGACTGTTGCATCCTCACTGCATGCTGCATCACACTCAGCTCCACTGACAAGAGGGGGCCCCCCCTTGCCTCCCTGCCTCCCTTCCAGGACCAACAGGCAATATGAAAATTCAAATAACCGGGGGCCGAGCCAGGAGGAGTCAGGCAACAAAAATGAACAGCCCACTTAGTTTCCAGAAGGTCCTGTCCTCACAAGCCCTAGTTTTCCCAGTGGCTTGCTCTCCCTGAGGCCTGAATGGTATCACCAATTTTTACTATAAGAAAAAAAAAATGCAATTAATCTTGTAAACACCTCCTGGGACACAGGTCAGAGCCAAGGATTCCTCCCATTTTCTTATTTATCTGATTTAAAAATTTGTCTCTTGGGAAAATTCATTTTAGGGCACAAGCAAGTACTTGGGAATTCAGCCAAAATGCACGCACCTCCAGTGGCGACAGGCCGGCAGGCGGATGGACGGATGGCTCCAAGGTCACGCTTGGCTGCAGCTGCTGCAAGGCCTGGATGCTTCCCCCAATCACCCAGAGGACCCCTCTGGCTGTGAGGACCCACTCCCATGCCCCACTGGAGGCAGCTGGAGGCATCCGGCCACGTGCCCATGGGAGCACCCACTTGGCGTGTGGACCCCGGGCCCCAGAAAGTTCTCTGTCCAGCCAGTCTCCTCCTTGCACGGGCAGGAGCGAACAATGACGTCCCTCCCGGCTGAGGGCTCCAGGAGGAGCTGCTCATCGGGAGAGAGGCTGCTATGGCAACTTGAGGAGAATGGAGCCAGGCACTGCCGTCACCTTGAATCCGGCACCAAGCATTCCACCGTGGCGGCAGAGGGGGCTGCACCTCTACTCAGCCCCTGCCGAGGCTCCTGCGATGGCGCTGACCTCCTGCCTTCCCTGCTCAGCCTCCTGGCCTCAGTAACTCATTTACTCCTCACTGAAACGGAGCACACAGCCCGGTCCCCAGAGAACATCACCTCCATCTGTTTTGTCAGACGAGTTCTTCCGTGTGTCTGGCTCCTGCTTGCTTCTGAGATGGGGTTCTTCTTGATTTCAGCTCATTAAAATCTTGCAGCTAATTAAAACCGGTTCTAACAGCGGCGGCGGCGGTGGCAGCAAACTCTGGGATGAGTCCCTCCAGTTTTTATGCGTAGGCATAAAGTTGCAGTGCTCTGTGAGGGTGACAAATGGCTGCAAGTGCTCACTGAGGCGGGGCTGCGCCTGATGTGGGAGAGCGCTGACCTGGGTCCTGAAATGCCCAGGGCCCAGCCTCAGCACACCCTAGCCAGCATGGGTACGCCCCACCTGCCATACTCCTCCCCATTACAAGGCAGGGACTCCCTCCAATTCCCCATGCTTTCTGCTGGGTGGGAGAAAGGGAGCCCCAAGGCAGAGGCCAAGGCATAAATCAGGCTTAAACAGCCCTGAAGCCTTGTCCCCACAGATGCACTAGGCTACAGCCCAGCTTCCCACCACTGCTTACACAAAGAGGCTGAGG